AAGAGCTGCTACAGACGTAAATCCTGCGAAAGAATGACAGTGCGGAGCCCCAAACCCAAATCGGTTACTTTAAAGGGATTTGGGTTTAGGGTTTTAGGCTTCCTTTAAGAGGGGTGGCAGGGCTCCTTTAACAAGGGGTTTAGGGTTTAGGGTTCGAGGGCTCCTTCCAAGCCTCTTCCAGCATGGAGCAGAGGGTAAGACGAGTGGCTTAACTGCGACCGTCATTATCGAACGAATGAACTTAGAGCACGGTCGTAAGCAATGGATTCAACAAGCTGACCCCGAATAATCAGCCTTTAACCCTGAACTCCAAAACCTAAACCATAAACCCTAAACCCTAAACCAGAAATACCTATAGTCTCCATTGTAGTTCCTTTTTGGGGTGACCTTATAGGATCCTAATTTAATTATAAAACTGGTTAAACCAGAAAGAAGCAACTACAATGGAGACTATAGGTAGGCGTTTTCACCCTGAAGCCCCTTTGTCGAAAAGCTGGACTAAGAGCCTGACTACTCGTACTTGCCCAAGATCTTAAACTCTTAAACCTTTGGGAGTGCAGAGGAACTATAGTATCCCAAAAGCTAGCAGAAAAACTCCGAAAACTTTGGGATTATACAGGAAGTATAGTACCCAAAAAGCTACCAAAAAGTACTCTGAACCCTTCAAGGCCCTTAGTTCAAGTAGAGGTCAAGGGCCCTGGAGCAACTTTCGGGTCTTTCGTCAAGATTTAGGGTTCGGGCACTCCGGGGTTTGAGCAATTTAGGTTTAGGGAGTCGTTAGGGTTTAAGGTTCAGGGTTCAGGGTTTAGGGTTCAGGGTTTAGGGTTCACGGTTTAGGGTTTTGGATTTAGGGTTCAGGGTTTAGGGTTTAGGATTTAGGGTTCAGAGTCTTGGAAACTTTAGAAGATATGTCAAGGGCTGAAGCTTTAAGATTTGAGCCTTACCCCTAGGCCCTAAAGTAGTTCCTTTTTGGGGTTCATATATAGAAACCTAGAAGGTAACCCCCAAAAGGAACTACTATGGGGCCTATGGCTAATAATTACCTACACTATTATGGGGGTTCCTTTTTATTATAGTATAGTGTAATTCCACAAACCCTAAACCCTAGACCCTAAACCCTAAACCCCTCAACCCTAAACCCCTAAACCCTAAACCCCTAAACCCTAAACCCACCTCGATGGCCAGCTCCACCCGCAGTTCGACCGTCGCTGCGGACACGGCTATTGCCACAGAGGCAGCTGAGAAGTCCTGCCCGGCTGGTTTAGGGTTTAGGGTTTAGGGTTTAGGGTTTAGGGTTTAGGGTTTAGGGTTGATGACTTACTGTTAGGGGCTGAGTACCCTAGCCCAAAAAAAGTTAACCTTTTGAATTATAGTAGGATTATCTAAGCCCCAAAAAGTTAAAGGTTACCTACTCAGCCCCTAAGTACTGAGTTTAGGACGTAGGACCTGAAGTATGCCAACCCAGGGTTTAGGCTTTTAGGGCTTAGGGTTTAGGGCTTTAGGGTTTAGGCCTTGAGGGTTTAGGGTTCAGGGCTTTAGGGTTTCGGGTTTAGGGTTTAAGGTTTAGCGTTTTGGCGGTAAAGCTTAGGATTACGGGATTCTTCAGGTCTACCAGCAGGGCGAAGCAAATGGCTCTAACAATTAGAATGGGGTCTTGCGCGGTAGAAGGTATCTGTGAGGGCTCCGAGAATCATGAGACAATAGCATAAATGTAGGGGCATTAATAATTAGAGCAGGGTTTTGGGGTATCTTACACTATATTGTAATAAAAAGGAACTAATAGTATGGGTAATTATTTCCATGGGCCCCATAGTAGTTCCTTTTTGGGGATTACCTAAAAGGATCCAAGAAATGAACCCCAAAAGGGAACTACATTTAGGGCCTATGGGTAAGGCCCCTATATTACAAGTCGTCCGAGGCTCCTATGCTACGAAAGACCCACCTTGCAAGCCCTGAGCCGGAGTCATGACATCAACCCGTGAGTACGAAAGCCTAAAGGTTATGGGTTTAGGGCTTTAAGGTTAAGGGCTCTAGGCTTTAGGGTTTGGGGTTTAGGGTTTAGGGGTTTAGGGTTTAGGGGTTTAGGGTTTAGGGGTTTAGGGGCTTAGGGCCTACATACCCTATATCCAAAAACCTATACGTTAAAACCCTGTAAACCTAAACAATGAAGTTCTCAGCCCCACACTCTAAGCTGCCGCAACACAATCTCCACAGCTATAGTGTTTTTACGAAGCGCTTGGTTAGAAGATTGCGCGTCTAGCTTGCACCCAGTGGAGTTTCGGACACGGCACAATCTCCAATCTCCATACTGTAGCTACAGTGTTTTCTGAGTTTAGAACAGCGCTCATATGGAAGATTTTGCGTCGGGCAAGCACCCCTGGACTTTCGGACACTGCATAATCTCTAGAGATAAAATGCTTTCTTAACTTAGAAGCGCGTTGATTCAGAAGGAGCATGAAAACCCACGAAAAAAACACTCCAAATCCAAAAGTCCCAAACAAAAAACCCCATCGTGCAAAACCTGCAGCCCGGAAGCCATAAATCTTAGGGTTTAAAGTTTAGGGGTTTTAGGTTTTAGGGGAACCAAAACTTGCAAGCCGGAACCCTAAAACCTGCAACCCACAGCCCCAAAGCCCCATATAGAGGCTTTTGCCCAAATCGCAAAAGCCTCTGAACCCTCAACCCTCCACTAAACCCTAAACCCTATATCCGAAACCAGACAGTGAACTTTAGGCTTAGACCCTAGCAGCCCTACCTGGACCCCCAAAAGTATTCCACTAGCCTTTTATAGGTGTTGGGCCATCATTT